CATTGTTTTCCCAACTTCTCGGGAAAACATGTCTCCCGCCTCTCCTACGGGATTAAATGTGATATCCCTATCAAATTGCATGGCTATTGGTTTCCCCTGGTTCTGCAAGATTGCTTTTTCAAGCTTTATATTTTTTGCTTTTCCTCGAGCTTTCCTTCGGGCACGTCCCTCAACTACAAATGTAATTAAAAATTATTAGAAACGACATTTAATTTATGATAATTGAACAAAAATAGTAAATAAAAATTCATGATAAGACTTACCGTCCTGCTCGTGCTGGCCAGGACCTCTACCACCTGGGAAAGGTGGGTCCTCAGCTCCGTCTCCCCCATGTCCACGACCCATGACAGCAGCCATGGTAAACATAAACAACAGCCACACTCTCATCATTTCCTGAAAAATTATAAGATATACAAATACAATTTTTATTATAGATACACATTACATAGAAATAAACATTTAGATAGGAATAAACATTTAGATAGGAATAAACATTTCCATTTAAACTAGAAATCCAAATACAGTTCATATTACAAACACATATTACAAATACATATTACATAAGAACTATTCTAATCAGAATCTTCCTCATATCCTTCAGTGTCTTCTTCGGTATCATAGTCAGAATCGGTGTCATCGTAATCAGTATCGCAATCAGAAACATCATTGACTCTACCAGTTGGCGGAGGAACTTCAGATGCACTTTCTACATCAACAATGACTCTAGGAATGTTTTGAAAGTACATGCTGAAATCGATAAAAAGTGGAGCATCGGATGAAGAGATATTTTGAAGTACATCGACATCGTCTACATTTTCGTGTGAGACATTGTCAACATTTTGAACAAGGTCATCGTTCGATGGTAGATCCCAAATACTTCGATGATTAACATGCTCGACAACACACCGATGGTTATTGTTTGGCTCTCTGATGTAGAACACTTGTTTGGCTTGTGACGCATATATGAGTTGATCATCTTTGTATGCTTCGCGTCGTGTGTCGATACTGGTGAAACTATCACTAGAAATAACTCCTATTCGAGTATCAAACCACTTGCAACGAAATAGTACAGTTGAATAATCATGTGTATACCTCAACTCTATAATCTCTTCTAACTGGCCATAATACTTCTCGCCTTTCTCACCCACCGCTAAAACCCCAGAGTTTTGTGTTGTACGTTGTGTGTCACGACTAAGTACCATAAACCTAACACCATTGACTATGCATGCGGTGTAAGAATAGGCATTCATTTGCGGGCCCATTGCAAGAACCGACAACTCTTCGTGGAATTCTGGAGATTTTTCTATTTTCATTTGATGAACCTAAAAATTATAAATTAATATGTATTATGTATTCGTTAGATCAATGAAAAAATTTGTTTATTAATTTATATTACCTTTTCACGAAACCAATTACGAAATTCTCTCTTTTCATCACTTTGGGGATGCTCAGATTTGAATTTCCTATGTTGATGACCAAAAGATATAGATTTAAAAAGATAAAATAAAAAATTAAGAAAAAGTTAGAGATAAGATTAATTACTTGATATACTGTCTGACTTCTTCACAGCTATTCAATACAAACCATTCCATGTTATGCATTTCCGTTAAATTAAAGTTTTGATTTGAGTTGTGCTGGTCGGTCGACATTTAGACTCAAACATCCAAAACTTTTTTTTTTTCAATGACAACATCTACATTTCTTTCCGGACGATTCTTTACATCTCGAAGGTACATTGAACAAAATGATAAAGCTTCTTCAGCAACATAACCCTCAGCTATAGAACCTTCTGGCTTCGCCTTGTTTCTGACATAGTTTTTTAGTTTTTTCATATATCTCTCGAATGGAAACATCCATCTCATACAAACCGGGCCTCCACAATTGCTTCATCAGGTAAATGCAAAAGTAAATGAACCATAATGTCAAAAAACGCCGGAGGATAAATCAATTCTAACTTGCACAAGATTGCAATAATGTCTACTTTTGCTTTCCTCATATCCTCCACCTTCAATGTTCTGGAACAAAGTTGCTTGAAAAACGTACAAAGGTCTACAATAGGTGTATAAGTATCTTTGTCTAACAACCCTCTTACTCCAATCGGTATCAAACGTTGAATAAGAATGTGGTGGTCATGCGATTTCAACCCAATAATGTTAGTATTGGTATCGTTCACTTTCTTACTAATGTTAGAACCAAACCCATCCGGCAGCTTAACCTCTTTTATAAATTGACAAAAGAGTTGTCGACTAGATTTCGTGAAAGAGTATCTTGCCTGGGGTCTATGAAACTTGTCACCATTTTTTTGCAACCATTCATTTCTCCGAATGTTTAGAATTCTCAAGTCCTCTCGTGCATTTGATGTGTCTTTGCTTTTATCGTTCATTAGGAGAGTACCTAACAAACTCTCGTCCACATTTTTCTGGACATGCATGACATCTATGTTGTGTTTCAACTGTAGAGAAGACCAATACTCGAGTTCGAAGAAAATGCTTCGTTTCGACCAGTTCAACTCATAATCTTGCCGCTTTGGCTCCCCGCCTCCATGCTCAGGATGTTTACCCGGTTTACGAGTTAGTAGACGACCTAGTTGCTCTTGTATGTCATCATTATTAAAGTGTCTCGGAGCGGGTCTTGTCTCTTCCATCCCATTAAAGTCCAACCTCTTTCTTAACGGATCATTAGCATCTAGGAAACGACGATGACCGATATATACGACTTTGTTTGTTGCACGGTACGAAGGAGTGTCTTCATTGCAAGTAGCACATGCTCTATACCCTTGCCCACTCCAACCCGATAAACTACTACGAGCTGGCCAATCGTTTATTGTCCACAACAACATAGCTCTCATCGTGAAGAATGTGTTTGTCGCCGCATCTTTAATACGTACGCCTGAGTTCCACAAATGTTTAAGCTCTTCCACCAACGGTCTAAGGAAAACATCCATATCCTTACCTGGAGCTTTCGGTCCTGGAATCAACAAAGTCAACATGAATGATGACTCTTTCATACAAAGCCAGGGTGGCAGATTGTATGTGGTGAGTATGACCGGCCATGTGCTATGTGGATTACACATGTTTCCAAATGGATTGAAACCGTCAGCTGAAAGACCTAGGCGTACGTTACGGGGTTCACTCGAGAAGTCGGGGTTTTTTTATCAAAATCTTGCCAATGTTCCCCATCAACAGGATGAATCATCACACCATCTTCTGAACGTCTGGTACTATGCCAAATCATATTTTTGGCAGTGTGCCTCGAACAATATAAACGTCGTAGTCTAGGGGTCACAGGAAAGTACCGTAACACCTTATGAGGTACTTTCTTACCCTTGGTTTTTTATCGATCCATCGGCTCTCTTTACAAACGGGACAAACTTGCAATGAATCATGTTCTTTCCAAAAGAGACAACAATCGTTTTTACACACATGTATCGACTCATACCCCAGGCCAATAGACTTTAGTTTCTTTTTGGCTAGATAATGTGAAAGGGGAACCTTGTTGCCTTTGGGAAATGCTAATTGCAAGAGCTCAAGGAGTTGATCAAATGAACTATCAGTCCATTTGTTGTTCACCTTGATATGCATTAACTTTGCTAGAAACTCAAGGGAAGAAAAGATGCAACCAGTATACAATTGAGTTTCCATTTCTTCCAACAACTATGCAAAATCATCATCCACACCGCTACCCCTTGTATTCGAGGTTCCTTCATCGAGGTTGGTATCATTTTCTCTCGACTCCCACATCACATCGTCGATTAAATCGGCCATTTCGTTACTTGGCAAGACGACGGGAGGAATAAAAGATTCACCATGATAGATCCAAATTTTGTACGCCTTACTGAAACCATTTATAAATATATGGCGTTCAACTACAGTCGGGTACTTGAAGTAACGGTTATCACATTTTTCACACGCACATCTGATTTTACCATTACTATCAAGGTGCAACTTCGACTTCTCAATAAAAGCTTTGAGTCCTGCTTGGAACTCGGGATGGTTTCGATATGGATTAGTAGTCCAGCTTTTATCAATAGACATGATGTTGCTGAAACATAATTTTGGGTTTAGAGTTTAGTATACAGAATTAGCATTGTTTTTTTCAATCCACATTTTTTTACATCTAAAATAATACAAAAATTAAGTAATAAAGAAATGAAAAAAATAAATTAAAATTTTTATTTATGCATTTTTTAATTAATTTTAATTAAAATTACTTGTAAGTTAGCTTGGGTAAAAACTAGAAGCTTTCTAGTTTATGTATATAAGTTTTTAAACAATTTTATAGTTTTTTTTTGTGTTTTTTTTTTCAATTTATAAAAATAATGTATTTTTTTTCAATTATAGCATCCTACTTATAAGAAAACCACATACTTTTACATACGTATTATATTGTTGTGTTGTTTTTTTTACCGTCGAGATTAAAATGTATATAAGTTTTTAAAGAATTTTATAATTTTTTTTGTGTTTTTTTTCCAATTATAAGTTAACTATATAACTTATTGGTTAATTAATTTGGAGTTAGCTTGGGTAAAACTAGAAGCTTTCTAGTTTTGTATATAAGTTTTTAAAACAATTTTATAGTTTTTTTTGTGTTCTTTTTTCAAATTATAAAAATAATGTATTTTTTTTTATTTCAATTATAGCATCCTACTTATACCAAAACCACATAGTTTTATATAATACATAAGAAGGTGAAATTCACATACTTTTACATACATATACCACATATACACCAAATACAAATACACACAAAATAACATCCTATTTAACCCAAATACACATAATTTCACATATATACATAATAACATCCTATTTATACCAAATACAAAAGTTTCACAATCATATATCACATTTACAACAAACATACCTACAATCACATACACATAATAACATTGTACTTATAACAAATACATATAATTTCTACAAATATACCACATATACATCAAACACACATACATTGGAATATATATACCAAATTCACATATATTCAAACAAATACAAAATATACAATCCAATTTTCACATATGACAATTATCACATAATTTCACATATAAATACAACTTGCAAGCTATACAACTAATTGCAATTAAATAACCACAAACAAAAAATTGAATAACTTGTTCTAATCCAAAACAATACCACCAAAAACAAGAATATGAACAATTTATTATCATTCAATCACTACATAAAGCTACAAATCGAAATTCATACAAAATAAAAATGAAATCATCAAAAAAAACTTACCTTTCTTCAAGAAATGGAGGTACCTAGAAATTGATCCCAAAGCTTTAACCACTTGCTTGGAACAATGCTTCTAATCCAAAACAACACCACCAAAAATAAAGAATATGAGCAATTTATTATCATTCAATCACTACATAAAGCTATAAATCGAAATTCATACAACATAAAAATGAAATCATCAAAATAAAACTTACCTTTCTTCAAGAAATGGAGGTAGAAATTGATCCCAAAGCTTTAACCACACCTAGAGATACTTGCTTGGAACAATGAGGGGAGAAATTTGCTTGAAAGAAGCAGATTGAAGAAGAAATCGGCGATATGGTGAAGGAAATTGGAAGCAAACAGAAAGGAATATGAAGAAGGGAGGTTATCTGCGTGCATTTTTTTTTTATCTGTGATGACCAATAGCGGCGACACCTTTAGCGGCGACTCTAGGGGCAATACCGGTGACAATTAGTAATAGCGGCGACAAACTGGAGGGAAGGGTACCGCATCATTTTTAGCAGACTATTAGCGGCGACTTTTTTGGAGTTTTAGCGGCGACATCTATGTCACCGGTATTAGGTTAGACCGGATAAGGCACCCCACCCGTTGGATTGGATATCTCATCGAACGGTTGAGATGCAATAGAGAGGGAAAGTGCGGATTCGGGTGACAACCCTTTAGCGGCGACATTATTAGCAGCGACAAGGGGCTTTACCGGCGACTCAAGCTAGAGTCGCCGGTAAAGCCCCTTGTCGCCGCTAATAATGTCGCCGCTAAAGGGTATATTTCTTGTAGTGAAGTTTAGAATAGTTATGCATGTTATAACATGTCCATGACACTTCAATATTTACTTATTAGCAAATATATACTTATGGATTGTTTTAGTATGTATATAAGAAATTTTCATGAACAATGTAATAAATTTATTATTATTTATTAAATTATATTTGATCTTTAAGGTTTGAAGTTACTATTACATTACACTCACATTAAATCGTATTATTGATAATCCGATCTGATAACAAAAAATGTTTAACTACTATAATTTAGTTCATCATTTAAATTGAATACAAGTGAGTTTGAATCTTAGAATTGCCACTACATAAAACCACTTAAAAGTTAAATGATTAAAATAGTAAACCTTAAAATATTCATAGTGTGTGTCATTTTTCCTAAATATAATCTAGAACTTGAATTAAATTATAACTTGCTTGTAATCTTAAAGAGTATAACAATAATATAAAACTTTCTACCTTTTTTAGTGTATCACAACAACCCTTATATACAACTCAGATGCAATTTGTTCTCACACCCTCTCAAATGATGCCTAATAGCATATCCCTGCAAAAATTGAAATATTGTTGGTTTTTTCATAAGTGTGGACCAAATAATTATCAAAAAGTATCAAAAGCAACTTTGCAAACCATGAAATAATATTTGCTAAGTAATCCCATGAATTGAAGCATTGAATGTGAGAAACACTTGAATTATATAACTCAATTACAAACTTGCATTGCCTCCAACATTACTAACTCAGTCTTAATACAACATCTTGAATTGTATAACTCAATATCAGTCCATCTAAATTCGATAATTTCGATACATGGTACTAATAAAAATACATATTGTTATCTAATGCCATAAACCTTACTTGTAAAATATAATACTTAACTAACGCAACATTAACCACATAGAATGAACATAAAATTGTTGTATATATTCAACCTAATATAATGAACACAAAACTGCTAATTAATTTTCTACCGTAGATACAACAAATGATAAATGAAAGAACAAATAAAATTGAAACTATCTATCCTTCTATCCTAAATGAATATCAACCTAACTCAAGCTCCAACCTGTACCCACACACCCTTACTAGGAATATTCCGATGGCTAATAAACAACATATAGTAACCCGGTGGTGCAATCCTTCCACTTGGTGGTGCCACCGCGTTGACCTCAGTGCTATCGACTTCTGTAATCGCACAGATGAGCATCCTTTGGTTTTGAGAGTAACCATGAGTCGTGAATGGTGGGTGTAATAGAGTCACGATCACATCTCCATCTGCCAATGTGGGATTCGATTTGATTGTAAACGTTACTTTAAAGTCTTTCCCGTATTTCAATCGCTTGTCAGTAGCATCTGCGGTGATAACAGGTCTTTCTTTTTCCAGCTTAGGGTCGAGGTAATGAGGTGAGAATTTTTCAACTCGTAATTCTGTTGGGAAATTACCATCGTAAGTGTAGAACTGATGAGATTGGCTACCGGCGACTAAAATCTTGCCATCGGGAAGAACAGATGAGGTGGAATGATACATTCGAGGGATGTTTGTTGGTTTTAGTTCCCTGAACCTTTCGCCTTTTGCGTTCTCTGGCATGTAAACGGTAGGAGTAAGGTTAGGATCTTCACCGTCGTCCCAACCGGAAGTACCCTTCTTGGCACCATTGATGAGAAGAAACTGTCCGTTTGGAAGTTGCAATAGATCTCCCATGACTCTTGGTGTTGGCATGTCTTGTTCTTTCTGCCATGTCGGATTATCCGCTGTGGCTATGATTCTATTACAGTCGGAAAGTGCAGGTGTGAACACTCTGTTTTGGGTGTATCTTGGATCGACATTTTGGAAAGCATCTGCTTTGTTACCACCACAGACCACCACTTCGACGGTGACTGGTTGATTATCGGCGGTGAGCCTCAATGGGAGAATAGCAGACTGACCTGACGGTGGGTAGTTGCGAGATCCGCCTTTCAACACCGGATATTCTTTCACTGTTTTACCCGTTTGTGGATTAAAACTAATAGCCCGATCATTCGCAAAGATGAAGATATTTCCGTCAGGGAGGAGGTAACAAAATGGATAAAGGTTGTTCTCGACACGGAGACCATGGCCAGCCGCCGGTGCGGTGGTTTTTTGCAGGAAAGGCAGTTGTTTATTGTTTGGCTTGAAGTCAACTGTCGGCCCAACAATGTCGTAGGTGTAGGAATCTCGACCTCCAATAATCGCTGCACTTCCATCTTCTAGAATACAATTAGTTGCATACCAATGAGGAGCACCGAGTGCATCTTTTTTATCGACGAACTTTGGAGCCGGGTCATCTAACTTCAAGAGCCTAACACTCGCACCACCCATTTTATTACCACCTGTTGATAAAAGGTCACCCGAAGGCAACAAATGTCCCGACGAACACCATGGATCAGTTTCAACCTATTATAAAAATCAAATATTGTATCATAAAATCATGCGCTATATATAATTAAGTATAAGGGTACTAATACTCGATGAGGAGGTAATTAAAAATGATAAGTAACTTACATAAATGGACTTGACATTGCCGGATTCAATATCATATTGTACAGCATGAGCGAAGCAATCGGGTTCATTGTTGTTATCGGGATTCGGGGGACAGTTACCCTTGGGACCAAGTTCACGAGCAGAAGGACCAAGGTTGGTAGTATCAAACCAAACCGCCTTGTTGTTAGGCATTAACTGATGCTGCATGGCGTTAACGCCACAATGAGGGTTATGGATTATCCATTCACCCTTATAATCACTATCTAAGATGGGTTGTTTGTAGAAAGGTGTGGCACCAGCTTTCTTTTTATAATGGCCTCCTTTCTTATTAGGAGTGTCCTTACCGCCACCAGCATCTTTGGGAGAGTTACCGCCGCCTTTCGGCGCAGGGGGGTCATTTCCACCGTCTCCACCCTTAGGAGCACAACCACCACCCGAATTGGGACACCCTTTCCCACTGTCGGCACCACCCGCACAAGGGCAGCCTTTCCCGCCGTCGGTACCACCCGCGCAAGGGCAGCCTTTCCTGCCGTCGGCACCACCCGCACAAGGGCAACCTTTACCGCCTTCGGCACCACCCGCACAAGGGCAGCCTTTCCCGCCGTCGGCAGCACCCGCACAAGGGCAGCCTTTCCCGCCATCGGCACCACCCGCACAATTGCAGCCTTTTCCGCCTTCAGCACCACCCGCACAAGGGCATCCTTTCCCACCGTCAGCACCACCCGCACAAGGACACCCTTTCGCGCCGTCGGGACCACCCGCACAAGGGCACCCGTTTGCGTCGGCACCACCCGCACAAGGGCACCCTTTCCCACCGTCGGCACCACATGCACAAGGGCATCCTTTCCCGCCGTCAGCACCACCCGCACAAGGGCATCGTTTCCTGCTGTCGGCACCACCCGCACAAGGGCATCCTTTCCCGCCATCAACACCATCCGCACAAGGGCACCCTTTCCCACCGTCGGCACCACCCGCACAAGGGCATCCTTTCCCGCCATCGGTATCATCCGCACAAAGGCAACCTTTCCCACCATCGGTACCACCTGGACAAGGGCAGCCTTTCCCACTATCGTTAGCACCAGGACAAGGACACCCATCCGGACAATGGCATCCTTTCCCACCGTCACCACCACCCGGACAAGGGCATTCTTTCCCACCGTCGGCAGCAGCCGGACAAGGACACCCATCCGGACAATGGCACCCTTTCCCACCGTCACCACCACTCGGACAAGGGCACTCTTTCCCACCATCGGCAGAAGCCGGACAAGGGCACCCATCCGGACAATGGCACCCTTTCCCTCCGTCACCACCACCCGGACAAATACATTCTTTCCCACCCTGAATAGCAGCCGGACAAGAACACCCATCCGGACAATAGCACCCTTTCCCACCGTCACCACCACTTGGACAAGGGCATTCTTTACCACCGTCGGCAGCAGCCGGACAAGGACACCCATCCGGACAATGGCACCCTTTCCTACCGTCGCCACCACCCGGACAAGGGCATTCTTTCCCACCATCGGCAGCAGCCGGACAAGGACACCCATTTGGACAATGACACCTTTTTCCACCGTCACCACCCAGACAGGGGCAGCCTTTCCCACCATCGTCACCACCCTGACAAGGGCACCCTTTCCCACCGTCGTCACCACCCTGACAAGGGCACCCTTTCCCACCATCAGCAGCACCCGGACAACGACACCCACCCAGACAAGGGCACCCTTTCCCAACGTTGCCACCACCCGGACAAGGGCAGCCTTTCCTGGCATCGGCACCACCCAAACAAGATGCAAACAACAAAGGGAGCACGATGACTAGGTGTCTAAGTGCCATGTTGAGATGTGTCGCGTTTACTAGTGAAACTCGTCGTAAACTTTTTGTATGTGTTGTTTTGCCTCATAAAATTTCAAATTCTAATTTTGGAAAGTTTAATTCATAAATTTGCATGCGGCAGTACGTGAAGGTAGGAGTTTTACTAGTATGTGTCTAGCTTTTTGTTGGAATCCCTTTAAATCGGTCGAGATCTATTAATTCGGGACACAATTTTCGTTGTCGGCTTCAGGTATACATATAATATAGCAGTTTCTTATTTTTAGACTACAAAAAAGGGAGTACATTGACATTTAGTGTCTCTTTTGTCATGGTACGTTTGTTACCGTATAAAATTGATGTTACGTATAATGTTATTTTCATGTTACAATACAAGTGGACAAGCATATTTAGCTACAATTTATAAATTAATTTTGAGAAAATGAAATATATAGCCTATTTCCCAGGCATTTATTAAGAAATAGGTAAAAATTAAGAAAAATAATAGTTTTAGACAACGAAATCACATTTGGCATTATCTTCCCAGCTTAATGCGCTGTGATTACGTGGCACATATGACCAATGTATTGAAACCCCAATAAAAATTTTTAACTTGATTTTCAAATTTTCAAACTCTATAATTTCTCTCTAATTGTTAAGGACGGATTTCCATCTAATAATGTTTTAATGATCTAATTTTTAGTCATTTTGTTTGTATTTCATAAGTTACTATTTAAAACGTCATTGTTTTTATATACCTTTTAGTTAATGCTTTATAAACTCGTAATTTACACTTCAAAACTTTTACCCCGAAGAGACAAAATCATAAATGACATGTCTATTTGTGATTGTAATGTTTTTATAATTTTGTTGCACAAATTATGCATTAAAAGTTTACACAATCGCAGATGGGCATGTCTTCTGCGGTTTTCTCTTTAGCTAGAGGAGAGGAAATTGCAAATGGCTTGTCTATATGAAATTTTCTCTCTTCTAAGTTTGATTATATATAGATAATTTGTTACCGGTCATTTTTTCAACATACGAACAAACAACTTTGTGCATCGTATTAAAGGTTCCAAAAATGAAATGTGGGAAGTAATCGCTCTTCTAGAAAGTGCACGTCGTTTGCTATTTCAGACGACCACATTTAATTTTGACATCGGACATACATGTTACACGTGATAACAGTGATCTTTTACTTTTTTCATTTGTTGATTCTCGATAGATACACGCTACTAAACAAATGAACACACAAGAATGTCTAGAATTGAAAATTTCTCAATACATGTTGTCGCTTGTGGCAGAGTTCTGTTCAATCCCTGAAGTTCGTGTAGCATGATATTCAAATGGATATATAAGTAAAGTCCCCATATATTGGGAAAAGTTTTTTAAAAGTCATAATTTTTTTAATAAAAAAGCCTAGACTCTAAACTACTAACGATTTTCATCCTGAACAATAAGATATAATACCTACGAACTTTCCTTAGCTTAATCAAAGATAAGATTTCAGAGAAGATAGATAAGATAAAAACCAGATGGGCAAGGGTCGAACTTTCGTTCTTACGATACAAAATCTTAAGCTTACCAATTATTCTAGATGACTTTTCATATATTTGTCCTTCATTATTATATTTATTGATCTTGATTCTATATATATATATATATATATATATATATATATATATATATATATATATATATATATATATATATATATATATATATATATATATATATATATATATACCCTTAAGGGTATATAAGCTTAGGTACCCAAACACATAATATTACGTCGTTTTGTATCATATATATACATTATAATAGTCCAATGTTCTTATAATTCAACTTATCACTTGATTTACTTCCAAGATTTTTATAAATTTCACATTTATCTCCTTCTTACATAATTTTCATTTTCAACTATAATATATATGACATACTAGGTCTTTGGCAAAAAGATGTGATGTAAAGGAAGATAATAGTGAAATTTCGAAAATCTTAATTGTAAATCAAGTTAGGAATTGAACTTAAAGAGTATTATAATGAATATATTAAACAAAACGATGTATTATAGTGGGTTTGGGTACCTAAGCTTATGTACCCTTAAGGGTATATTTACTTTTCCCATATATATATATATATATATATATATATATATATATATATATATATATATATATATATATATATATATAATATACCCTTAAGGGTATATAAACTTAGGTACCCAAACACATCATATTAAGTTGTTTTGTATCATATAATACATTCTAATTGTCCAATGTTCTTATAATTTAACTTCTAACATGATGTACTTCCAAGATTTTTATAAATTACACATTTATGTTCCTCTTAAATAATTTTCATTTTCAACTACAATATATATAGCTTAGTAGATGTTCGGTAAAAAGATGTGATTTAAGATAAAGATAATAGTGAAATTTCGAATATCTTGAAACTAAATCAAGTTAAGGTTGAAGTTTAAGAACATTATAATTAATATATCAAGGAAAATGATGTACTATGATGTGTTTGGGTACCTAAACTTATATACTTTTAACGGTATATTCAGTTTTCCCTATATATATATATATATATATATATATATATATATATATATATATATATATATATATATATATATATATAAAACATTTTTTTGGAGGCTTTCCTTTTTTTTCTTACCTGATAATCGACTACATTCGATGGTTTGAATAAGATGTGGAAACGCAGAGTGTTCTACCTTCACCAACGGTTGCATGCTATGGTGCTGATTGTTTTGTTGTGTGTATTGAAAACCCTTTCCATTTAGCGTTTAAGAGTTTGAATTTAAGGTATGAAAAGCTTATTTAGTTACAATTTCTGAATGGATTTGATTTCCTTTCCATTTCCAGTTTCAAAAACTAACCATATGGTCAAAATACAGAACCATCAGTGGTTGCATTATTAGGCCAGCACGATTGAAATAGATGCTTCACTTTGTGTTTCATTCAACAGTTATGATGCAGTTGCTAAGTGATAAAGAAGAAAGCAAATAAACAAAGACCTGGAAGTTTTCAAAACATTCGATGAAAACTTAGGTAAAAATAAATATTATTTTGATTTTCTTGAGTTATGTAATTTTTCTGTATGTTTCAAATGATGCTGGGATATTATTCAACACTTGTACTGTGTTTGAGTTGTGCTGGTGATGGTGTTCTAGTAAAAAAATAAAACATGATGCGTAGGCAAGTTAGAAATGGATTCATGTTTTCTGGGCCTATATGGACTAAATATATTAACTTCTTGATTTCTTTACGTGTTTGTAATGTTTTTGTTTCCACAAAACAATAGGACCTTTTTATTTTAATTTTTCATAATTATTTCACTTAATTGATGAAGGATTGGTATTTTTGTTTCCACAAAACAATAGGGCCTTTTTATTTTATTTCTTCATCATTATTTCACTTAATTGTCTATATGTAGGATAAATGATTGGTATTTGAGTATCAACCAAAATATAATAGTGCAAGGGTTGCTAATTATAGAGAAAGAAAGAAGTATGATAAAGAAATTGATTGGAATTTGTTTGTTGTTCCACCTTCTCGATCTCTGAAGGCAATTTCATCTCTCTTTTTCCTTTTGTCTTTATTCTTGATATGATTATTATTTTGAATCATTGTATAGAGCTGACTATTTCCTTCATCTGATACAGGAAGAATTGAAATGGACGACATGAAAAAGATTCTTAGCACTTGAAAAGTAAGAAAAAAAAAATGTTTTTCATAATTTATATAATTTTATACTAATAACTAACATGACTTATGTGTAATCAGGGAGAATCGTCAAAGGATAGACACCGTTTCTGCTAACAATTGCATCTCATTTACTTATGGTTTGATTATGCCATCTCATAAAAATGGTCTTTTTGTTTTGTTCTAATTCACTCCAACGTATCTAATTAAAACTATCTTTCCTGGAATCAAAATAAAGGACGTATTCAAAAGATTTGGAATAAGCAAAGAAGCTTTTGAAGATGAAAGCCAAAATGCTATAAACATCTTGGTTAAAAAATACTTTTTAATCATTAGGGAGTTGTTGGTGTTTATGTTGACGTTTTTGAACTTGCAGGGTTGGGACTTTTATCATGTCATAGCTGTTGGGTAAAGTTTTGAAAACAAGAATGCAAAACAAATAACCAAAATAACTCTTTGATTAATTGGAAAATCACTCAAAACCAATGTTTTTACAATCTGTTCTCATAATCATAAACTCGATTATAGATAGGTTATATATAGCCTAACAAACCAACTTGTATTAGAGTAGGAAACTTATGACCAACTTGCCATAAACTAAACTTTCCATAAATTAGATTACTTGGTCTCCAAGTCCTCATCGACTTAGGATTCCAACAATCACCCCCGAATCTCTAAGTCCTTCTAGAGAATTCTTCAACCCGATCCGTATTTAAAAAACGGATTCGTCACTGTCGTCACGTTCCGAACAATCACCGTCTTTTAATTTTTGGAGTCGTTCCGGACATTCAGAAGCAAAGTGACCCGGTTTGTCACACCGAAAACAAATCACCTTAGATCGATCCTTTTCCCTATTTTTCCGATTCTTCCCACAACAACAATTACAATTTTTGCAATCAGAATTAGAATTGGACAGTTTATTAGGCCGACTGCTTTGAGAAACCCTATTACTCCCTTTGGGCCCGCCTAATCCGCCCGACCTGGATAACCCACTATATCCGGATCCACTTGACCCATTAGTCCCATTAAACTCATTTGCTTTATTAGACCCAATCGATCATTTCCAATTTCCCTTCGTTCCCGATGAGTTACCCCTAACAGTTGACGACCCACCTCCATCTCCGGTCGATTTTTCGGCAAATAGAACCCTCGATTGTCCTTCTCCAGCATCGAATTCCCTTATTCTTTCTTCATATGCCTTCAATCGACCCACTACGTCTTCAAACCCTACCGATTTTAAATCTAGTACCTGTTCAAGAGATGCAACGATGTGAATGAAGTTTCTGGGTA